TTTATGTTGTTGCATGTATCAGTAGTCCATTCCTTTTTATTGCCAAATAATTATTCCATTAAATGAATGTAGCACAATTTATTTATTCATGTATCAGTTAGTGGATGGTTAAATCATTTCCACTTTTTGCTGTTATGAGTAATGTTACAAACATTCTTGTACTCTTTATGTCAGTATGTTTTCATTTCTCTTGAATAGTTACTTAGGAATAGAGTTACTAGGTCATATAAAGTGTCTGCAACATTTTGTTTCTAGGAACAGTACATGATGGTTCTAGTTTTTCCACATCCTGGACAATAGCTGTTACTGTGTTTTTGATTAAAATCATTCCGATAGCTATGTAGTGCAATCTCATTGTGATGTTACTGTTAACTTTGTATCTCTCTAATGACTAGTGATGTTGAGCAAATTTTCATGTGCTTATTAGTCATTTGTTTATTTTTTTTTTCATTTGTGTATTTTATGTGAAAAATCTATTCATTCGTTTTCCCCAATTTTAATTTACATAATTTATTATCTTACTGAGTTGTAAGAGAATTTATATATTCTCTGTACATGTTCTTTATTAGAAACAAAAAAGTTCTCTCCTTGTATGATTTATTTTCTTAATGAAGAACAAAAGTTTTTAATTTTGATGAATTTAGTTGTCTTTTTTATGTATGGTTTCTGTTTTTGGTATCATGTTTGGAAATCTTTGTCCAATCTAAGGTCACAAAGATTTTGTCCTTTTCTTCTTGAATAAGAGATGGCAACATATAGCCCGTGGAATGAACCCATCTGACTCAAAGCTAGTTTTCATAAATAAGGTGTTATTGGAACATAACCACACCCATGGATATACATACTGTCTGTGCCTGCTTTCCCTCTAGTAACTGTTGTGTAGTTGCTGTGGAGATCATATGGCCCAGAAAACTTAAAATACTAACTTGATGGTTCCTTGAAAAAGATGTTTGCTGACTGGTGTTCTAGAAGAGTTTTAGCTCTTAACATTTCTAGGATCCAGCTTGAATTAATTTTTGTATATGATGTGAGGCAAAAGTGTGTGTGTATATTTGCGTGTGTTGATTTTTTTTTTTTTGCATATGGACACACACAGCTGTTCCAGTATTATTTGTTGAAAAGATTTATATGTAATGACTCATTTTCTTCTTGTTGCCTTCAAGATTTCTTTCTTTAGTTTGTAATGAATGGTTTATTTAATAGGTGAGGATTTCTCTGTGTTCGTTCTGTTTTGGATTTCTTGTACATTATTGTTTCTATGATAATTGAAAAGTTTTATTTCATAAATTTTACTCTCCCCATTCTGGGACATCATTCCATGTATGCTGGTATATTTGGTGTTGTCTACATGTCTGTAGTGTCTTTTTCCACTGTTCTTCTAATTGGATAATTTATCTTTGATGTCAATATTTACTCTTATTCTAATATGAAATCTGCTCTTCTGACTGTCTAGTAAATATTTCATTTCAGTTATTGTACTTTTCAATTCTTAAAATTTCTACTTTTTAAAATAGTTTGCATTTCTTATATAGCCCCTATTTTTATGTCATGTCAATATGTATTTACTTCTTTAAGCGTCGTTTCCTATAATTCTTTAAATATATTATGATAAATTTTTGAGGTCTTTATTAAATCCAAGATATGGTCTTAGATATAACTTGCTAGTGACACTCCCTCACCTCCCATGACATGGTTTACATTTTTTTCTTGTGGCTTATGTTTTTTTCTTTGAATTGGACATTTTATATAGCATATTATACACATTCTGGATTCTGATTTTATTCACTTCCCCTCCTTCAAGTTGTGTTTATTTAGAAACTTGTGTGAAATTCAACTGTAGAATTTGTCTCCCACTATACACTATTATTGATGTGTCTTCCAAGCTCTTTGAAATTGCATATTTTCATTTTTTGGTTTGACTTTCTGGGGCTTGTACCTGTGATTACATGGTTTAGTATTAGGAAATGACTAATTGTAGTTTGTGCCTACGTCTTTGAGCCATTAAGTCTCTCTCTGCTGGTGGATTGTGTGTGCTTAGGAAGCACACTCAGTGTTCAGTCCACTTTGATGTTTGCCTCTTTCTCTTTCTATTTTGTTTTCTTGTATCTCTCTGTGTGGTCATACAAAATTTATTTCCTCTCTATCTCCCTTCCTTCCATCTGTGGTTGTACCCAGGGCCTCATATGTGCTGGGCAAATGTCCTACCACTGAGCCATGCCCAACCCTCATGCAGAGTAGCCAGGTTGTGTTACATGTTTGATCTCTTACATTTCCAGTTTCCCCTCTACATACACTGAGCCTTCTAATTAGATGACATTTTGTAGTGAGCTTGGAACCTATTAGGTGTACCCTGGGCATATGTGCAAACTTGTGGTCAATAGGATTGTGTGAAAGGCATAGGCCCTTTTCTTAAGGATCTGACCGTTTTCAGAATCTCACTGTTAAATTTTTTTAGCTAGTTCTCAGATTTGCAGCTTGCTGTAATGGTATAGCAACTGTAGGCAAAGAGAGATGCATGTTTTTCTGTTTTCCACTTGGTATGAGTTTCCACTCTGTGCTCCAAATCAAAGTCATCCCCATGTGCCAATGAAGCTGCCAGTTTTCATGGTCGACTTCACTTTAATGGAATTTTCATGTCCATGGAGCTGGGTTAGGACATGGAGGCAGCTTCTGGTAAGATGCCAGATCTGACTGTACTTACTGAGACATTTTATTATTTGTCACGAATGAACTTCTCTTGTGTTTTTTTCCCCCTTTGGTTGATAATAAGAGCACAAAAATTGTTGGTTTTGATGGTTTAATGCAGTTTTATAGTTGTTTTTTGGGGCAGATTTTGTACTTCACTGGGAAGTTTTTGCAACTTCAGAATTTGGATTTTGAAACCCGGGAATAGTACATTTGAAAGATACATGCTCTTAGTTCTCTAATTTGTGCTTAGTCTGGAGGATAGTGAACAAGCAACTTTTAAAAAAGGAGAGATGACAAAGAGGGTTGAATAGATGAGACTTGATTGAAGTCAGAAGTTTCTCTGGAGGATAAGACTTTTTCTTCTGTATAAATAGATCTGCAAGCTCAAACTGAGGTTAAATGAAGGGCTTGGTAGCTTTTGTGGAGAGTAGATGTCTTGCTTCTTCAAAGAAACAACTCTTGTTCTTCAAAGTCAACTACAGCTGACAAAGCACCTTTATTATACTGTTCTTCACTTAATACAATTTTGTGAAGGTTTTGTATTTATTATTTTGCATATAAGCAAATAAATTTTCAGATTGGGGACTTAGCCATACTCTTAATATTTGTGTGTAGTAGGGATTGTACTTAAGCCCATTTCTTCTGGCTTCTCCTTGTTCCTTTTTTTTTTTTCTTCTTGCTTTGGGATTAGGTATTGAACCCAGGGCACTCTACCACTGAATTGCTATATCCTCAGTCCTTTTTATTATTTTGAGACATGGTCTAAGTTGCCCAGGCTGGCCTTGAACTTGTGATCCTCCTTCCTCAGCTTCCCAAGTAGCTGGGATTATAGATATGCACCATCTTACCCTATTTCTTTGTTCTTTATATAACTGATTTCCTACCATGTCATAATTTCTTGCAGACTCTTTAATGAAATTAGTCAATTTATTTATGTAGGTAGTTCCTGAGGTTAGAATAATTTCTGACAGTCTTACTGAATTTTTATTAGAAGCTGAAATTCTTTTCTTTGAATTGATAATCACCTTTCATTAAATGAAGAGCCCCTATTTGTTCCAAATAGTAATTTAGTAAACTATTAAAGAGTTAGAGAATGAGAAATCCCGTGGCAGCTTCCTCTGCCAGCTTCCTTTTTTTTTCTTACTCCATAGATGCAGATTGTGCCCAAGAAGCCCCTGCATTGCAGAGGGACTGGAGATCTGTATGATCTGTTTATTTCGCAATTGACAAGGGTAAGGGGGCCTCTATGGGGGAGGTGTGTGGGTGCCCTGAATTTAGCTTTATGTAGTTAGCCAACATTTATTTTGGGATTACTAAAATTTAGAGTTTGGGAAAAAAAATCTTTTATAAGTTTCGTTTGTCCTGTAGCAGTTACGTGTCAGATTTTCATATTAAAAAGCATGATGGTATTTTTTAAAAGTCCTGTTTTGAACAAGTCAGATAAACATGATTTATGCTTCTGAAATTCTAAATCTAAAATAATTTAGCATATTAATAATATTGGATATGTGTAAGTAAAATTTCATTACAATAAAAATTTTTAAAGGCTTTAGATAAACAGCACGTTGATAGTTAATCTTTATTAATTTGCTTTGTTCCTTTTCCGTAAATCTGTCAATTTGTAGAGTAAAAAAGGGACTTGTGGATGTTCATAAACATTGTGGGTGGGTGTGATGTCTTTTTCTTGATGCTAGAAATTAGTACTACCTTGAATTCTTTGTTTACCCTGATGCCAATGAAATTTGAGATGTATCTTCAGGCTGGCTTGTATATGATCATTAGGATAAGTGTAAAAGTGCAGTTGGTGGATCTTATGGGTGCCAAGATTAAGTTTTGTAGGTCTCATGTGGCAGGTTTATAGAACAAGTACCAGGAATGGGTATATAATAAGATGGTATTAAAACAGGTAAGAATTGAATGCTCTTTTAAAAACACAGAAGGATTAGGCAGGTGATTGTAGTCTTAGAGGGTAGTTGAGAAGACTTGAATTGGTGATCGACTGATGGGTTTATTTTTGTTTTTCAGGATATTATTATGCCTGAGAGTAAAATAGCCTTGCTTACCTATGTTTGTACATTTCTGTGACTTTAAATAGATACGTCTAGTATTCTGTGCTTTTCATATTTTTAAAATTGTCCTCTTTCAGCTTTTAATTTTTAGATTTTAATAAATTAACAATTATGTATTTTATTACTGCTGTTAATAAATATTCCAGTTTCTAGTATCAACAATTTGGAAAACTATTTTTATTCTTAAACATCTTAAATGACTTTTTTTTTCCTTCTTCTTCTTCTTCTTCTGTTTTCTTTAAGCCATAAGGATGAGTTTACCATTATTCCTGTACTGGTTGGAGCTCTGAGTGAGTCAAAAGAACAGGAATTCGGAAAACTCTTCAGTAAATATCTAGCGGATCCTAGTAATCTCTTTGTGGTTTCTTCTGATTTCTGCCATTGGGGTAAGTTCTAGATTTTAACATATCATGGTAGATACTATGTACTTGTGGTTAAAGGTGCCTTTTTATTCAAAGCTCTGATTATCAGTTCTTTATCACTCTCCTTGGAAAGTTTTACTTTTAGCAGCAGTGTTTAAAAATGAATAAAAAAATTTTTTGGTCATTTAAAAAGAATCAGATGATAATAGTGGATTATGGACACATTTCCAAAGGCGACTGGTATAATTGGATTCACACTGTGAGGGCATCCTTTTTCTAGATACTTATGTTAGTAGGAGTTAAGACCTCTTAATTCCATTTCCATGTAGGTATTGAGATTTCTCTCAAGTTAGTTTTGGTTTATGAAACAAATGTTCTTTAGAATGTGGATGAGCTATGCCAGTCTTTTCCAGATTTGCTTTTTGTAATTAGTCTCTCTTTCTTTTTTTCTTTCGGTGCTTATTTTTTGCCCACAATTGCCATCAGTTTAGAGCTACCCTTCAAAGATTGTAACACGTTGGCTATTAGCACTGTGGTCTTCATTGCTAATGCTTTATAAGGGTAAGGATTCTTAAGTGATTTTTTTGATTATTGTGAATTAAAAGAGTAAGGATACTTAACAGTGAATAGATCATAAAGAAAGTGAGCATTTATGGATGCCTCTTGTAGCAAACTTTGTTTTTACATTCTTTGGATGCACTTTGCTCTCAATTATCCATTGCTATCCCACAATATTTCTAAGCTCCTTTCCTCTTAGGTCATCTCTTTAAATCATTTATTTAATGCCTTAAGGATGCCAACATCTGTTCATTCATCAGTGACTATTTTGATTCTAAGAAAATGTAAAATATAAAACTATAATTTTTAATGTAGAGTGATAGAGCAACAAAAACACATCCTCAATGAGATATAGGAAACCCTTGCTTTTTATGTGTCTTACACTTTGATTACCAGAATTGATTCAACATTTATCTGGCTTGGTTAGGTGTTTTCTTGCAAACTTCTCTGAATGACCTTCTGAAAAGTTGAGATCTCAGTTGAAGAGAACTGTCTTTCTTGATGGTATAGTTGAGTTATTTGCTAAAGGCAGTAATTCTCAACTAGGGATGGTTTTCCTCTTAGTAGGTGCTTAAAAATGCCTAGAGACATTTTGATCAACATTAGTAGGTTGGGATGTGACTTAATTTAAGGGATCGTGATGTTACTAATATCAAATGAGTAGGGTTCAGGAAAGCTGCTAAATAAACATTTTACAATGCATAGTACAGGCTCTCCCAACCCCTGTCCCCAGTCAAAGAACTGTTTGGCTCAGAATGTCAACAGTACTGAGGTTGGGAAACCTAGATTCAGGGTTTGTAGGTAGCTGTACTTCCTTGGTAAAAGCCCATAGTAACTCTCAGGGCTCTTTAATAACTAATTCTATTGGCTACTTATGCTGTCTTTGGCAGAATCATATTACTTATATTTGAGGATCCAGGTAGATGCTTAAAAAGGAATTCCTTTCTTGGGAATTCAGATATTTAATAGTCATTGATCTTAAAAACCAAGGAGTATCATTACTGAGAAAATGGGTTACTTTTCTTAGTATTGTGAATATTTTTTTTTCCGTGTGTGTGGTGCTAGGGATTGAAGCCAGGGCCTTGTGCCTGCAAGGCAAGCACTCTACCATCTGAGATATATCCCCAGCCCCAGTATTGTGAATTTTTGTTGATAATAAGGCATACTCATATGTTTCAGAAATTAAACTTGTTGAAGCAAGGGCCCTTTCCCTCATCATTTTGAAGGCTCTTAAAATGAATGAGTCACTTGATTTAAATAATGTGCTCCCCGGAGACTGTTCTTCAGAATCTAGGCTCTTTCTCCAAGTTGGAAACATGTACAACAACATAAATCCATGGAAATATTAGTAGACACTTTAATATTGCTATTTTCTTAGGAATAATCATTTTTATCTCATTAATGAAGATTTCTAAAGCCTCCCTCCTAAATAAAATCCTGCTCCACTACTCTTTTTAACTATAGTTGTTGAGAAGGAAATGTAAATTTTTACATTCTAACTAGATTCTCAGGAATTAATTATTTAGGCCATTTCTCTTCTGACTTCTTGAATTTTAATATTTAAATTGTACGATGGAATTTCCAGGTGATAATTACAAAAAGAAAAATGAAAGAAAATCTCACAATTGTGAAGCTTGATAGTTATGAGAATTATCCAGAGACTAAAACATTAATACTTACATTAGGTGGTTAAGTAATGGAGCTTTTCCAAGTGTCCAGTTTTAAGTGATGCCATCACGAACAATGTTCATTACACATTTACATTATACTTATGAAAAACACTGTGCTAATTCTTCCTGGATGGGTGCTTTGGGTCAGTGAGAGATGTGAGACATGCTAATAATCTGATATTATCAGTGAACTTTCATTCCTTGATACTATAGTCATTCTTTTAAAGTAAGATACATTTTCTGAATAGCATGCCTCTTGAAGTTGTATGAATCATTGGCTAGCTATGGGCTAATTGTTTTTACTGAGGAATTAGGTTTCATGTTTCTCAAATTTATGTTCTAGTGGTATTGGGCATCTTTCCTAAATTAATAAGTATGTTATACTACCATCTCAAAAATTTAGTTTCTTATGAAGGTAATGCTTCCTGGCTTTTCTTAATTTTTTAAAATACACAGTACAGTTTTTACCATGTAAAAGCAATCATAAGACTGAATTATTTTTTTTTCTTTTTAAAAATTATTTATTTGTATTAACTAGTATTGGGTATTGAACCTGGGGCCTCTTTACCACTGAAAAAGGGCACCTCAACCCTTTTAATTTTAATTTTTTTTTTTGTCGTTGTTGTTGTGGTTGTGGTTTTTTTGAGACAGGGTCTCATTAAGTTGCCCAGGCTGGCCTTGAATGTGCAATCCTCCTTCCTTTGCTTCTTGAGTCTCTGAAATTATAGATGTGACCACCATGCTCAGCTGATAAGACTAAATTTAAATAATTTCACATGAAGGATTCATTTCCCTAAGTATGTGGAGGCCTTACAAAGTTCATTGAGCTAGGCTTTACATTCACTTCACAATTATAAATAGCGGATTTTTTTGAAGAAAAAGCAGGTAATTGATAGTAGTGCATTTGACAAATTTCACAGTGTGAATTTGTTTTTGTTGAATAATATTAAACTACTGGAAGTGACTATATTTTTCATTTGTAGTCATTGTTTCTCTTTATATTTTGTCCAGATTTTACAAAAAATAAAGTGAAAAACTCAATGATAGTTAGTAAACATACTTGTAAATTGGAAATATTTTTCCTTATTGACCTTATTTGCTAGCCAGTATTCATTGTAAAAATGGCTTCTTTTAAAAAACACATTTGACTTTATAGATGCTTACCTATCAGATCCCATTTAGGTTTTATTTAGATTTGAAAAGATAGTAGAAAGATAAAAGTTGAGAGATAGAAATATATATTTTTTTCTGTTGTTTACTTGTAGAAGGACACAATACTTTTATTTATTTATTTTTACGTGGTGCTGAGGATAGAACCCAGTGCCTCACTTATGCTAGGTAAGCACTCTACCACAGAGCCAGAACTCCAGCCCCTATAGGTTTCGTTCTTTCTTTTCTGTTCTTTTCTTTTTTCTTTTTTTTTGAGTGAGTGAGACAAGGCAGGGGAGAGATAGGAACCTAGATTTTGTTATTTCCCTTCTTTTTATCTTCATTTGAGTCCCCTAAGATGAAACCTTGCATTTCAGTTCCTGCCTTTTATCTCATTATCAGTCTTAAACCTATGAAAATATGTTAGCACCATTGGAAGATGTTTGTCAGGTCACATTGTAATGATCCTACCTTGATTCACTGTTCCTGCTAATAGTAGGAAATGGAGTAAGTGCCAAGACATTTGCTGCCAGTGTTTTGATTTTTTTTTAAAAAAAAATATTTACTTTTCAATTGTAGGTGGAACACAATAGCTTTATTTTATTTTTATATGGTGCTGAAGATTGAACCCAGTGTCTCATGCATGCTAGGCAAGCACTCTAACTCTGAGCCCCAGCCTCAGCCTCTCGTGTTTGATTTTTAACACAGTTAAATAAGTTGTATTCAAATTCTTGGTATACTTACAAAGTTCTATGTCCTATATAAATTTTATTTTATTTGCTCAAGTTTTAGTTTTGTTCTTCTCCATATATACTATTAATATTTGTCTTTTCCTGACTTCACTGAAATTTATACTTCCAATTTTAGAATATTAATAGTTTTAATTAATGTAATTTTTCACTTAACTTTTAACAAGTTTCTAAATTAAATTGCATCTATCAGAAATTGAATCTTTAAAAGGTGAAGTCATGCTTAATTTGCCTTTTTATGGTGGTTTTGCATATCAGTTCTAATACATTTATTTGGAAATGTTTATGACACATATTTTGTTAAAATATGTATAAAATTTTCTGTAGTCTCTAGAGATTATGAATTTGTCTAGATTTATATAATTTATTTTTATAAATATGTGCCACTTATTAAAAGTGGCCTTCCTCTAAGTATTTGAGATTTATGTCCTTATTCAGTTTTATTCTGTAATACATATTAATAAGTGATTATTCATGCACACTCTTCCTCCTGTTAATCTCTTGGGCATAGGATATTACTATTTTCTAAATATGTAAATTCATTTGAATGTAATCGAATCTCTCAATTATATCTTATTCAAGCCTTCACATTTTTTTTCTTAAATATTTGTACATTCTGATTTGACAAATGTAGGTTCTTGATCTTTTGCAGGATTCAGATAATTTTACATTATTACTAAGACTTCATAATGAAAGGATAATAGCATTTAGTTTTCAGAAATGATTACCTTATTTGATCCTACTTAGATAACATTTCTTTTTTTAAATACATTTTTTTCTTTCATTATGATTTTAATTGTGAAAAGTCCCTAGTTCCAGGCTTTATTCCTTGTCTCACAGATTTTTGTGAGGTTTAACTCAAATATTTGAAAATTGCTTAACATATTAACAAAGTGATGGAGTAACTGTACAACCAAAATATCTGAAAGTTTGTTTCATTGACTTATTTTTTGGGACTTTCCAAGGTCATTGTTTGTTTGTGCAGCTCAGAGCATAGGTTGATGTTGAGGTATTTATTTTTTTACTTTTTGTTTCGAGGTACTTAAAACAGTAGTGTTGGTTCTTGTACCATTCATCGTTGTTTGTCCTCATTAGTTGATTGTTGTGTGTTAAACAGACATCCCTGGAGCTTACTTTCCACACTCTGTGAATCCACTCATTAAATCACCAGTCACCTTTGGAGATGGGAAAATTACTTACCTGTATTTCTTTTTCTCAGAAAGCGTGCTCTGGAATGGATTCACAAATGAGCTACCCTCCTTCCCTCAAAGAGTAAGGTTTCTGCTTTACAGGATTTTTTTTTCTTGGGTTATTTTTCCTCTCATCTTTTGAATTTGAAAAGAACTGAGGGAAGGCATCTGAAGAAACTACTGACATACTCACTAGGGGAGTTCCAAAGCTTGTACTGCCCCTAGGGGCACAGTGTCAATGGCTCTTAAAGCTAGAAAGCTCATACTTGGAGTTGAAACAGGGGCTCAAAGAATCCATTTTCCCAGTGTACCTTCTGAAAGGATAAGTTTCAGGTAAGTAATTTTCTCTTACTATGTGATATGCTTTATTCATACTTATAAAAATACACAATTCCAGTTCTCCAGGTACAGAGGGTGTTGTATTTGTTCACAGTTTAGATTCAGAACTTTTAATGAAATTCAGAAGTAAAAAAACTTCATAGAATAAAATATATTTGCTCATGAAATATATGAAATCATAATTTATTTTAAATAAATAATAATTTAAGGTTCATTTATGTTCAGTGTATTATGCTAGTACTGTAATTTCCTTTATTAATAAACTCTTGAAAATTTATTTTGTTAACAATAAGAAATCAAAAAAATTCTTTTAAACTCAATCACAAGCAGCGATTGACTAAAGCTATGGGGTGTGTGCGTGTGTGTGTGTGTGTATGTGTGTTTTCACATGTGTGCATGTGTACACTTACATAAATACATTTGTACATACATACAAGCTAAATAAAATGACAACTCTTTACTCCAAAATTAGATGCTTTCTACATATATTGGCCAGAATGCATTGTTTTTAAATTTTGGTACAATTTTTAAAAATTACTATTTGACGACATAAGCTAAGCAAAGTATTTATTCAGTGTGGTAGGTATGTATAGTATGCATTTAGCTTCTTAACCAAATATTATTTCAAATATTTTTACTTAGTTTTTCAGCTATTAAATGTGAGGTGGCTACTGAAGAGTAACAAAATGTAGATAGTACACTATCAAACATTTGCTTAATTTGGTTTCCTGCATGTTTTATAATTCTCATTATATCACAGCTTGTTTCGGCATTTTAAAGTATTCGGAAATGTGAACATTTCCTATACTTGTGCTTCAGAAATAGTTTTTAAGTGAAAGCTTCATAGTAAACAGTCAGTCTGAACAAGATAGCACTTTAAAATATTGTTACTCGTTTCAGGCAAGGTTGCCATTTGAAACATCAGTTCTGAACTGGGAATTAAGCAGAAAAAAATTTTTGAGTAGCAAATGGCTACTCAAATTTCTGCGTTTGTCTTTGTACCTGGGAATAGCAGTATTCAGATAAGACAATTATGTGCCAATCACAAGGCTTGTTGATAGTAGCTAAATCTAATAGCTATTACAGGAAGCAGGGAAAAAGAGAATGGGTTAGTATAAACCTAAGTAGTTCAGGCTCAAAGAATTAAGGAGTATATTACCTTGATTTCCTGCAAGGATGATATTCTTATTATAGTGACAGCCAATGAGAATTTTCTTGTCTAGGATATTCATTAGTTTTACAAAAGATGTTGGGCAGTTTTATATTAAAAAAAGAAACCATTTGAAATAGAAGTAAAAATGTAGTACATATGAATTGAATCACTAAGCTATTATGACTAAACTTTAGATTTGGCTTTGAGCAGCCTTCTGACAACTACCTGGCAAATGGTAAAAATAGGTTTGGTTTTATAATTCTCATTATCAGATAATTGTCATCAATGTGCATGGTACACATATTCTTTGAAAATAGAGCTGTAACTAAGTCTTAATTTTGATAGAAATAGCTGAGGTATTAATATAAATTATCACCACTATCTTTAATAATTATTTTAGTTTAGATATGTAATAGATCTTATAACTATGGTAATGTGCAATAATCTTTATTGTTTTATTCAGAAAGCAGATATTATTTCCTAGCCTGTCTCTTGATTTTAGGTTATCAATTGTAATATATAATATTGTAAGATGTAACGTTGATGTAATAATTGTTCCATTGAGTTAATGGTGGATATTAGTGTATATGAAAAGTTAAAATGTAGAAATTAAGGAAATACAGTATATTTTAGAGAAGTAAATAATCATAGATGATTGGCAACTACAAATGAATGAAGTGTTAAGTTCTGTGATTAAAAAAAAGACATTGAAGAAGGTTTTATGATTTTGTAATGCCCACTATAAGAGAGTATTTTTAGGAAGATGAATAGAAAATAAAAATCATATACAGACAGTGGAACCCATCTTCTGAGATGTGAAGATACTAATTGGATATAGTAATAATGCTTTAAACATGAAGCACAGAACACAAAATGTGTACATGATTGTTATTGTAGCACTAGAAATGCATTTTGGTAAATCTTTAAAAACAAGGGAATATAAAAGGAAAGGAAGCATTGCTGAAAGTTAGATTTAGGTGTATTTGGAAAATATAGTCAGCTAAATCATCTGTAATTAGTTATGAATATTAACTTTTGATTTCATATGATTAGTAGGAAACAATTTATTTTCTGAACCTTGGTTTTCTGTTTTCTTTTTAAGCTTCTTCCATTTTACCCTCTCTGTTCTTTGGAGAACAGCTAAACATTGAATATTCTGGGCTTGTACTCTTACTGAGATTTTATGTCAGGGTAGGACTATTTATTATATTCATTCTTTTGTGTATCTTGTTCACATCGGATAGGCACTTACATCAGTTCTTTTCCAAGTTGCACAGAAATGAGTTATTTTTTAAAATTCAGGTCATAAAGCTCACAAAAGCCACAAGTATTATTGACCTATACATTTTTTTCTGTAATAGAGATCAAATATGTGCATTTGTACACCAGTATCTAAACTTCCATTGATTTGTTACGCTGAGATAGTTTTCCTAAACCAAATTTTCTTGAATCATATTCTTTGGTTCTATTATAGACTGATACAATGTTTAACAATGCTTCTAACTTTTAAGTTGTTTTGTTTCCTTAGTCGTGTATTGCTGGTGACTTTAAGGTTCCTATTTGAAATAGTTTTTAAAATCATAAAACACTGGTGATAATATCATTTCTTTATTATCTTCCCAAATATGCCTTTTATTTTTATGTATGAGGGCTCTTGGGAATGATTTTCTCAGAGGCTTAAGCTGTGCTTTGCCTTTTATGAGAACTAAAATTATTTGGTAAGCGCTTGCTTTCTTTTTAGCTTCTAATTTTTCCCTATTTTATTTTGTACATGATATTTGTTTCAAGGTCAAAGGTTCCGTTACAGTTACTATGATGAATCCCAGGGGGAGATTTATAGATCCATTGAACATCTAGATAAAATGGTAAGTCTTTCAGGTGTGGGGTTTTAATGCTGTAAGACTTTTTCTTTAATTTCAGATTAGTGATTCGAGACTTAATATGTTAAATATACAATGGAGTAATGATTATTTCCCTATCTTTAATTAAGTGTACAAAATGCAGTGTGTCCTCCCATGAATATTGACTGTAAGAATAATCCCTGTTCTACTAGTAGAAATTTCCTTCATTATAGTTTTATTTGATTAATGAACTTTAAATAATAATTAGATATAGATTTTAATTACTCCGGAGAAGTATCTTAGTCTTAGGGACAATGGGATACTAATGCCATTACTTAGCAGATGATGAGACTCCTGAACTCTTAATTTCTGTTTGTTTGATGGCTACCTGAAATACTCCTTTTGACTGTCTGAAATGTGTTGTCGGTTCTTAAAATTTATTAAGTAACTTAATATATTTTAAAGTTTGGTTTGGTAGTAGTTTGAACTACTGTGATTGAGTAAGCTAAAGATTTTATGAACAAAAGGCTTATCCTTTGGCAGAAACTACATAAAAACATGAAGTGTAAACCTAATTTTTTAAACGTTTGATTCAAAGTCTTTATTTTTTAAATTATCACCTTTTTCCTTTGGGAGATAATGATATAATATGACATTTAGGAATTCCAGTATATATAAAATTTAGTTAACTCTAATTTTGTCTGCTATACTAAAGTAATTTATGCAAATGTTTTATTTTAATTTGTTTTAATTTTTAAAATGCCATCATGTTTAGTTTGGAATTACATTTGACTTTTTTCTTCATATTTTCCAGAACCTCTTAAAGTGAACTTAAACTTAATGAGATGAATAATTTTTAACATAATAAATTTGAATCGTTGGTCTATTTCTGTATAATCTTCTGTAAATCAGAATGTTGTATATCAAATTGTATTTTTATTTTTATTTTCATTTCTCATTGATCTTAAGCTTATTAAGACTTGAGCTTTATATTCTATGGCCTGTAGCCATTACATGTCTAATAGGAGAGCTATTAATAAAAGCTTAAGAAAACAAAAATTACTTTTACAAACACAAGTGATTTGTTTTCCTTTCTTCTCTTGTCCTTTGCTCTTCCTATAAATCCTTAGTTATTTCATTGTTTGGCCATTTGGATTTTTTCAAAATGGAATTTTAATTTGTTGTTTTAAATATGGAATTTTAAAACATAATTGCATTCTACCTAACCTAGGAATGCGGTAGACATTGATCCTACTGTTATTTTTTCTAAAAATTGTATGGTAGTCATTATACCTCTTTTAATTTTTAAAAAGTCACAAATAATTTTGGTGCCCATTCATAAACAGAATATTAACTATAGAAGAATTGTCACTAATTGCTCTATGACCTTTGATAGATCATGTTAAGTTCTCTGATCCTCAGTTCCTCATTTGTAAGAAGAGACACTTGGACTAGAGATGATTATCCTAAAATCTATCAGCTCATAAGTCTGATCTTTCCAAATCAATTTTACACATGTGTTTTAGTACAAGATTACTTAGTCTAGAATATCTAAAATATTCTGGTAAGGAATCTGGATCTTAATATATAGATAAATATTGCTTATAGGTTATTTTATAAAGCCAAATGTAATAAGTGCAAATTTAGTTACCTAGGACATTTTATCATGTTCAATTTTTTTCATATTTAAATTTATATTCATTGTTGCTTTAAATCTAGTTATTATCTAATAACTTTAGAGTTTTGTTTTTATTTTAATTTATTGAATTTGTGGTATTTTCAATTTAGTTGATTAACTCCTTTTTAGCTTTCTTTTCACTTACTTAAGAAAACCTTTCTGAGCCTATCATTATTTATTTTCTTCATATAGCAAGTGGTTAATGATTATCATAAAAAATGTTTAATGGTTGCCTTCTCTGTGTCTGATACAGAGTGAAGTATTAAAGATCCTTAGAAGAGAATACATGGTTCCTGACTTAATAGAACTTAGTCCAGTAATCTGAAAGACAAGAAGTTATAACAAAATCTAGAGATAAGTAAGAGATATTTAGGAGATAGTGTGGTTAGCATTGTATCAAGGAAGTGAAGGAGGGGCTGGGGATGTGGCTCAAGTGATAGTGTGCTCGCCTGGCATTCATGAGGCACTGGATTCAATCCTCAGCACCACATAAAAATAAAATACATATATTGTGTCTACCTTAAAAAATAATAATTATTATTAAGAAAAAGGAAGTGAAGGAATCTGAGATGATTTCTGGGTTCCATGTTGACACAGATGCTGTTTTTCACTTATTAAGGAAACATAAGAGGACTTGTTTAAGGAGAAATTTTAAATTTTAGACTTTTTTTTTTTGATACTATTCCTTGAAGATTTTTTTGATACTATTCTTTGAAGACCAGCAGACTGACATATTTTTTATAACTTTATTTCGTTTATTTATTTTTATGTGGTGCTGAGGATTGAACCTAGGGCTTTGCACTAGACATAGTTTTTATGTTATACTTAGAGATGCACTTTCCAGAATGGTAGCTATTAGTCACATATATTTATTGAAGAACTTGAAGTATGGATAATGTGACTTCAGATAAAACGCATACTGGATTTCAAATACTTCAAGTGAATAAAACAAAAATCACCTCAGTAATGATTTTTTAAAAACTTGATTACAGGCTGGGCATGGTGGTGCATGTCTGTAATCCCAGTGGTTCGGGAGGCAGAGGCAAGAGGATCTCGAGTTCAAAGCCAGTCTCAACAATTTAGCGAGGCCCTAAGCAACTCAGTGAGACCCTGTCTCTAATAAAATACAAAACTAGGGCTAGGGATGTGGCTCAGTGGTTGAGTGCCCCTGAGTATAATCCCTGGCACCATCCACACTCCTCCCTTTAAAAAAAAAACAAACTTGATTACATTATGAAATTATAATGTCTCAGGTTATGTTAAAAATATATTAAAATTAATTTCACTTTTTTCATCTTTTTAATGTGGCTACTAGAAAATTTTATGAAATATACGAGACCTGCATTATATTTTAATTGGATATTGCTGGTTTAGAACACAATGATAGTTCTGGACGGTGATAAACACTTAAAAATCATTGGTATATGTTCAGTAGATGAAAAAAATGGGAGTTAATGCCATTGTCCAGAGGAAATAATGCCAATGTCCAGAAGGGAGTCTATAGAGTAAGAAGTAAAGGTTAGAGGAACATTGGGGAATTATATTGGTGAGATGATAAAGGATAGCATAGTCAAAGGAAGACCTTTAAAGATGGCAACTGAAATCACTTCAGAATTCCCAGTAATGTTAATCCCTTATTTTAGGTTTCAGATTTGACTGTCAAAATAATATCACTGATAATTCCTATTTCTGCCTGGCTGACTTTGTTTTTATTCCTTTTGTTTGTTTAGGAAGGAATACCTAAGCAACTGGGCATCCTCAGTGGTAGAGTCATGCTTTGTAGTATGCATAATGTCCTGGGTTCATTCCAAAACGTGAGGAGGAATGGCTGTGGGTCTGTGAAATATGAATTATTAGTGATATACATTAATTTTCCCTCATTAAAATTATCTTTATTTGGGGGCTGGGGTTGTAGCTCAATGGTAGAGCACTCGCCTAGCAAGTGTGGGACGCTGGGTTTGATCCTCAGCACCACATAAAAATAAAAAATAAAGGCATTGTGTCCAGCTACAACTAACACAAAATATTAAAAAATATTATCTTTATTTTGGTTAGCTAACTATATAGTAACTGATCTTAAAATGTGACTTAGTTCTAAAAAGTTTGAAAGTAAATAAAAGTCTTCCTGGTGGTCGCTTTTAGCAGGTTCAGGTTCACACTAAATTTTATAGAAAAGCAAAATTTATTGCACCACACCAACAAGAATAACTCTAGCTAGGACATTTCCATCGGGATATCTTATAAACGGCTCAAACTAAACAATTTTTTCCTGGTAGTTTTCTGTTCTACTTAAAGACTTTTCCAATTCAGTTGATGGCAACTTGCAATTTCCTAACTGCTCTTCTTAGACCTGTTCTTGTCATTTTCTGTCTCAGGTAGGAATCAAAGCATTTCTTAACTAAGTTAGATTATGACACTCATCTTCCCAAATCCTCCTATCATATTTCTCTCTCTAACATTGCCCCATTTCAGTCAGGGTAAAAGCTAATGTCCTTAGAATGAGTGACCTAAAGGACCAAAATGATTAGCAGCCCCATTTTTTCTCTTACCTTTATCCTTCCTTCACTCTCCTGTGGATACCCGGGTCTCCTTACTATTGTTTTTAATATAAATTTTTAGTTGTAGATGAATGCAATACCTTTATTTTATTTTATTTTTATGTAGTGCTGAGGATCGAACCCAGTGCTTCACACTTGCTAGGGAAGTGCTTTACCACTGAGCTAGGACCCCAGCCCCACCTTACTATTTTTTTTAAGAATGCCATGTATGCATTTAGGTTAGTGACTTTTGCCCTTTTTGCTCTTGTTTCATTTACTTACCTCAAGTCTTTGCTTAACTCTTAGCCTTCATAGTAGGGTATTCTGGCTCACCATATTTAATTTTGCATTCTGTGTCATACCCTTCCAGCATTCCCTGTCTACCTATGCAATTTCACATTTTCTTGTAAGAAACTAAACAGTTTACTTATTATATTTTTGTCAGGAAGGGCTTAGAAGAGTGATAAGAACATAAAGTGCTTACTATTTTTTTAAATGAACGAAAATCTTTCTATATACATTATAGAAATCTTTCTATATACATTATACATATACAGTTAAAAAACATGAGTATCCTAACTGTGATATGAAAGTGAAATAAAGGGAAGTAATTTATGATAAATTAATATATTTTTTCAAATACACAACTATATTAGAAGACACAGTGAAGTAGTTGGATGCCATGCATTGTGTCATTAATTCAACAACAATAAATACAAATTTACACAGGTGTTATGTTTGTTACTCAAATTACTATGTGACATTGTTGGGTGACTTGATTTTCCAAAATGGTAAGTTAGTAAACTTTG